ATTCTTTCTTGACTGACTAAATACCCAATAACATCAAATTTGAAGACTTGGACAATTTTAAAGTCAGATCAGACCCTTCAGAATAAAAAATAAATAAATAAAAACTACTTACGGAGACTGTCAAAGCCGCTCCAAATTAGGCTGGTGTAAATGAAGAAATTTACTTAAGATTGTTTTCTTTTTCACTTAATGACCCAAATTAAGAGAGACTAACACAGAAATGGAAAATTCATGCACTTTAGATTGCAGATGAGAAAGAGAAGAAAAGAATGTAGGAAGAACACCATAAGCAGTAAAATGAAATTGCCCAGACACACTTTAGTGGCTAAAGAAGGAGGTAATGAAGTGAAACCCCCTGCTTTGTGAAACTGTGTGGGCTTTGATCGCTGAGTGTGCAGTGATTTGGTGCCACTGCACACACCTCCCTGACCACAGGTCCCAATCCAGCTTCAGCCGTGTGTCAGTCTTGACACTATTTGTGTCAGAACGCTGCAACTCTTGGAAGCCTTACAGGTCTCCTCTGGCCCTTTCTTCCCCAGAAGACCACCATTCCCTTGCACTCCGTCTCTACCCAGCAGCCCTGCTGTCCACTGCTTAGCTGCAGATGCCTGTTCACTATAGGGTCTTTGATCCCCTCCACTCCTTCCAGATCCAGTACAACCATCATTCTTCATCATTACCTTCCACCAAATCTTCAGTGGTTGTTTTTGATCTATACACTTCTTTCAATCTAAAACTCAAGTTTGCCCTTATCCCTGGAAAAGCTTCTTAGAAAACAAAAAACAAAACAAAACAAAAAAAAAAACAAAAAACAACTTTGCATCCCTCTAGTGATCAATTGAGTTTCTCTTGGTCAACCTGCTTGAGGGGTCCACACTTCCTTTCTCTACTTATCTGTCATCTCTCCCACCACTGTGGCTTCTGCACTCTCCTCTGAGATTGTCTTCTCTTTGGTTCTTTCCTGCCCTGACCTCAGTTACATAACCTCTCCTCCTTGATTTCCTGATTCTGCTTTTTCTGCAAGCCCCTTCCCTGAGTAGTCCTGTTGCCATTTGCTACTCTTATGGTCTTTATGGCCTCCTAGGATAATTTTATCCTGCAAATCTGTATTTCCTAGCCCACCCTCTTCTCCCATATTCAAAAGTTTCTATCTCACAGCCAGAGATATTTCTTTCCTCTACAACCGCTTGGAGGAATCATCCCTGCCTGCTCTCAAGGGGTTCATAGTCTTGCCAAGAGGCTGAGTTAAACATCTGTTACAAGAACCCTGGCTAAAGTGTGACAGGTCACTTCTACCCTGGTAGTGGTGATGAAGGGACTATTAGATGAGAGTCACAGAAACCAGCCCTATATTGTCCTGTCCTTTTCTGTGTTTTTTTTTTTTTTTTTTTTTTTTTTTTTTTCCCCCCTTGGCCTGTGTCCTACTCAGCTCTTAAGACTAAGATCCTCACACATGAGGAACAGGAGAAAAAAACAAATGTTTAAAACTCATCATTTCTTCACATTACTGCAAACAGAAAGTTTAGAGCTAAGAACCCATATTTCTATCCAACTTTCATTCTGCTATCTTAAGTCAACAGCTGACTGAGCTCATGATTTTTTTTCTTTTTTCTTTTTTTTTTTAAATTTATTTATTTATGTGTGCATGGCCAGCTCAGCCCACCAGGGGGCGGGGCTGGCTGGCATGTGGTGCTGGGGGATTGAACCAAGGTCCCTGTGTTTTGCTTAGCTTAGCTTGTTCTAAGTAGGTGCTTTAGACCACTGAGCCATCTCACCAGCCCCCTCATGATTTTTTTTCAAGGAATAAAGAAACTCTTAAAATTGGGCTTTATATGACCTTTAATGCTATTATAATGCAAAATAGCTCTACAAAGTTCTGGAAAAAGTCACAGTGAAAAGTTTTCCACTCATGTAACTTGGGAAATGTCTAATTAAAATCTCTCATCAATGTAGAAACCTAACTCAAACTCCAGAATCTTGAAATCATGATGGGATGTGAAGCAGTTAGAAATCACTTTAAAGGTGAGAGCAACAGTAGGATGGGAAGGGAGGAGATGAAATTAGGTCCTCCTTTTACTCACAGACTTGCTCTGTAAATTCTGTAAAAATCTGTAGAAATTCTATAAAATGTGATGAGGAGTTCGGATTTTTCCCTTATAGAATCGATGTTACAATACAGTTATCTCAGAGACCTGGCCAACATTTCCAAATGCCTATATGAGCAGCACAGGGAAGGATGAAATAAGAGAGACAAATTTATAATGCATTAAGTGGAGCTGGGAGGTCAATATCTCAGGATGAGGTAACTTGAGATTACCCAACCTTACCACTATTTAATAAGCATATGCATACATTTTTAGAGGGGTTAATGTGCTTTTCCTGGAACAGGGTGGTGATTGCTGTGGGCTAGTAAAAAGAACAAAGCATTCTTGCAAGGATGAGACAAGAGCCAATAAGGAAACTAGTTTTCCCAGATGAAACTTACACTACTGCTACTACACTGCTTTAAAGATTCTTCTTGTCCTCAGCAGGTCTCATCTCGCCCTGTGCATGCACAGCATCACTAGCCTGGGGGCTTCCGCCATGACCTGGAGAAAGTGGAAAGTTTCTGCATTCAGGCTCACAAGGCAGGACCAGGATAGCCTTGGGCGTCCTCAGGACTCAAAACAGGTTTAAAAACAAAAGACGATCATATTTTTAAAATATCTATTGTGGATTGTGCTCTTTCCATGAAAAACTGGCTGAATGGAAAGTCAGGGCTGGGTACACACGTGTTTGTCTCCACTGCCACTAGGCCAGTAGTTCCCACATGAATTTGAAACACCTTCTCTCATATCCTCTCCCCAAGGGTTCCACCACAGGAGGCTTCCCTTTGGGACAACAGAACCCCCTTTACTCTCCCTCTCAGCACAGCCGTGGCAGGAGCAGGGCCTCTATGGTGGTTTTCTTGCAGGAAAACATCTTAGAGTTTCTGTGGTTCTAGAAGCCAAGAAAAGGTAGAAATAAATGCCTTTGTGGCATCTGTGATGGTGAGCAAAAGCAACGGATGGCTTAGAGTTGGAGCTGAATTAATCTCCATGTCATTTGTCACTTCTTTTCTGGGCAACCTGGGAGACTGGACCCTCTGAGCATGAATTTCTTCCTATTAAAAAAAAGTGAAGGTTGTCTAATCCTTTTCACTAAAATTTTATGAAATCACAAATTGCCAATCATTTAGATGTTGAATACTTGAATCCTCCCCTGGGACAAAGCATAACACAGCTGGGCCTCATGGATGACCAAATCCTCTAGATGTATTTCTTCTGTGCTGAAATTCCTTTCCTTCACTGCCCAGGTGGACCTACTTCCTTATCTTATCCAGTCTAAAATACTACAATGTAGAATTTATTTGAATTGATGAGCATGCCAATTTCAATGTGAAAATGCTTGAGAGAGGACTACTTGGGAATATTTTGTCCCTCTTATATTTGTGAGTTGATGAAATCAGATTTCCTAATCTCAGCACTTCCACTGAGACATTATCAGAGGCTTTGCTGAAGAAAACTGATTGAATGGGGCCTTATTAAGAGCCTGGAACTCTAGGACAACAAAGTCCTGTGGGCTTCTGATTTGTGGGCATGAGGACACTGAGCCTAGGAAGGGAAAGAATATGAGAGGGAGGAGCAGTCACTGAACTGCCAAGAGCTAAAGTCAAACAGTCTTACTTTCAAAGTGTCATCTCTAAAAATGAGTCTGTCCCCGGGTGGGCACACTGAGATGGCAATTGAGACTGGGAGTGGTGGTTGGTACCTGTAATCCCAGTTCTTGGGAGGCTGTAAATAGGCGGATCACTATGAGTCCGAACTAGTAGTGAGACCCTGAACACCCTGTACACCCTTCCCTAAAATACAAATAAATTAATTAATAAAATAGAATAAAAATGAGTATGAATTCCAAGTAAACAAAACATAGAAGATAGGCATGAAACATAATGGCATGTGTGAAAAGTTGCAAGGAGTAAAGAATAGAGAATAAGATGGAGAGAAAAAGAAAGCTGGGGAAAGGTGATCTTTCTTCTATCTCATCCCTCCTTTTCTCTCTCTCTCTCTCTCTCTCTCTCTCTCTCTCTCTCTCTCTCTCTCGTCTCCTTCCTTACCCTCCCTCCCTTCCTCCCTCCCTCCTTCCCTTTTTTCCTCCCTCCTTCCCTTCCTTCCTTTCTTCCTGCACCCCTTTAGAGGTGTCATACCCCAGACTTACACATGCTAGGCAAACACTGTACCACTCCTAAGCCTATATAATTATATCTTTAAAATGGACAA